ATGTGCGTCGCTGGCCGGCGCGCTCGGGGAGCAGGCGTGTGCCTGGCCCTGCGCTGCAGCGGCCGGGAGTGCGTGTGGGAGCGGGGGCAGCGGCACCCAGGAGCTGCTGCACATATATGGATGTGCAACGGTGGTTATTTTTGGCCACCCACTGGAGCAGAAGCTCAGCACGGAGCGGGTAAGGACTGTGTGTGCATGGAACAGTTGCTCTGCTGCTGCAGGGGCTTGAAATGAGCGTGGAGAACCTGCAGCCCTCCACTTCCATGGAACGCTTCCTTAAAAGGGATTATTTTCCTTCTAGGCAATCTGGCTACTTAGCCAAGCGCGTGTGTGGGGCTGACACACACGGCGCCACCGGAGCCGCGGTGCCAGCGCCTGGAGCGGGGAGGGGAGAACACAACCCGGGGCGGGGAGGGCACAGAGGGCTGTATTTGACCCTCTGCTCTCTGTGTCACACTGAGGGACCGGGGTCCTCTGTTAGGAGAGGTGAGTTTAATGCCCTCTCCCTGACAGCTGGAACAAGAACTTCAGAGGTTCCCTGGGTGTGTTGAAGCCCGCGCCGAGACAGGCTGCAGTTACTGGCACCAGGCCTTAACTGTAGGGGCAGGTGCTGGCCCCTGCTCCCAGGGCTCTCTACCTTTTACACCAGGAAAGGAGGATTATACAGGAACATGGGCATGTGCAGTAGGACTGTATGTGCTTTTAATAGCTTTGCAAGCTTGAATTTTGCAAATTTTATTGCTTATGGTGGTGTAGCTTTAGTTCCTTTATTATAGGGGAAAAAGGAGACAGGGATGGATGTTTATGAACAAGAATGTTTTGTTTCCAGTGTTGGAGAGAATGTAGCAGCAATGCTGGAAGGAAAAACAAAGCGAATGGAGGAGTAAAACTAACTAGAAGTAACCATGATCAGCTCTACAACTTTGATGTTTATGAAATAAAATGGTAGCTTCTATAAGAAAAATAAGTAAATGTGTATTAACACTTGAAAAATATATTTTTTTATTTATTCTTCCCTCTACCTCTGCATTTGAATTGAGTTTGTTTCAGTTTAGGACAGGGGTGAAAGGGAGTGCAGTTCGGTAAGTGCACTCTCAGGAAGAAGGATGAAACTGGACTCCGAAAGAACAAGACCTGAATTTTCACAGTGACTCAGAGGAAGAGACAAGTAAGGAGCATGTTAGGTCTTTAGGGTAATTTTCTATTGCAGATGTGTGCTTAATGGCTGTCAGTCTTTGTTTTCATGGCCTTTGTCATTAAATACTTCCCTCAAAATAAGGAGGTGGCCCTGTTTCCCTCCCTCGTTCCTGCTCAGGCAGCACAAGCCCTGGTGCAGCCGGGAGAGGGCCCAGAGCAGCAGGGATCTCCCACTCCCACAGGCAGGAACCTGCACTTGCGCTGCTGGGTTCCGAGACTAACTTTATTCTTTCTGTTCCTTGCCCACTCTCAGAACTCACCTTTGCATTTCAACAGCTGGGAAGAGTCAAGCTGCACACTGAGGGGGGCAGCAAACACTGCAGTGCTCCAGACCCACCCACCCTTTGTGAATGAGCAGTGGTTCCCAGTGCTGGGATAGTGGGAACATGTGGATTAGATTCTGGGTGTCCCCTTCCCCACACCCCCTCCAGTCAAATTAGAACAGTCATCCCTGTACAGGGAATTATTTTGATAGCTGTGCAAGGACAAAAGGAGTTTCATTCTGTAAGGGAAGGAGACACTTTAATGGCACATTTTCCATAAACACACTGCGTGAATGAGATTATTTGCATTCATCCTGGAAATGCTCTAAACACACGCAAGATGAGCACAGTCAGTGATCCTCACCAAAACGTACACGCTAGACTTTAATGGTAAACAATTACAACTATGGCACTACAGTACTTGAGGATATCCTAAAGCACATTGGAATCAGTTGTCAAGGTGCCGATTACCTCATCAGTAAGACACAGACACATCAGTAATGCAACATGGATGGGGAAACACGGGTTATGCTTTCCATCGATTTAGCAAAATCCTTAGAAATGGCCTCCTGCTTCTGATACAAGTCCACTTTTCCCTGTCTACCTGTGCAAGTTCTGAACTCTCCCACTGACATCCACAAGCACTTGGAGAAGCCCCTGCCCACGCTCCGAGGAGGCGCTTGCCTTCCTAGTGCCGCAGAGCTTTGCATCATTGTGCATTAAAATGCTCAGAATACAACGCAGTAAAGCACTATTCTGAGAGCTGGAAATTTTTGCAGTTTTGTTTTACAGAAATCATGGCTCCAGTTGTATACATGGCTGAACAAGGACTAACAAAAGGACAACCTTCAATCAGGCAAAAGTTTGGTGAAAAATATGCAAGTCTGAACTGTAAAGAGCAGTTGTTTCTTGCAGAGCAGTCACAAGCAAGAAAAAATTCTTGCCAGTTAGTGTGTACTATGATCAGCAGTAAGTAGAAAAGAAACATTTGGCTTAAATGAAATCAGATATCCCTCCCCTCCCACAAGCTAGTAGATAAATATAGGATATACAAGTAAGGTTAAAAATGTAATACTAGGCCAGGTGCAGTATATGTTACTGGTTCAGTGCTCAGTTACATTTTTTTTTGACACCACACTGAATAGAATACAGTGGATAAGCAAAGTTCTCCACCAAGGAAGAGAAATATTTGTGTTGCCACAACAAACTGTTCATACTGTCCATCTGGGTTTGCAGTGGGAGAAAGTTAAATTAGGAAAGGATTTACAATGTACTCGTTCCAGCAAAGCATATGGCTGAGTCCATCACCACCTGCTGCAAGAACAAGCCTGACGTGATTGCATCGTGTTCCCATATTGCTGGGTGCCATTGCCCAAGACCTCAATGTTACAGAGAAAAGATTACTGAAAGAAAATACTGAAGTGAGACCATTAATTTGATTAAGAGAGAAAAAATAACTGGAGAAGTAGAAGCTGCTTAAAATAAGTGAATGTTGATGAAGCTTACAAATTTATGTTCCTAAACATACACAAAGGCACATTTACATCACTGGTTTGCAAGACCTGTGTTCACTTGCCTACAGCAAGTTAAACTGCTTGTGGCCGTGACTAGGTGTGCATTTTAATATTTGTACTACCAAAAAACTAAACTCCTAAAGCAATCCAACTGAAGCAGCACGCGGACAGAAGGCAGAGCTGGAAATATTTAACTGCCCCAGATGTTAGCAGTAGGGCTGCCCTTCAAGGTATGAATGTGCTGAACATCCCTCCCCTGTCCCACACACTAATTAAGTCCCTCAGGTACCTTTTTCTGCAGGCAGAAAAAACAGCTGATGTCCCAAGAGACCAGAGGAGCTGCCTGGCTGCAGGAAACTGGAAAACAGTAGGTGAGGACCTGTCTACAATTTAAACAATGAATAGTTCTAGTAACTCAGGGGAAAACAAAAGGAGATATCCTTCCATGTATGTATATCTAAATAACTATACTTTTTTTTTTTTTTTTTTTAGCTAGTTCACATACACAGTTAGCAGTGCTAATAAAGGTGACCATTTTCTGCACATTTACATAAGGTCAGTCTCTCCCCAGGTTTAAGCCCCAAGGATTGCCATTTAACAACCATCTGAGGGATTCCTGTTGGCAGTTGTCACTGTACAGCTAGCAGGTAGCCCTGCAAGCGGGGATCAGCCTGAGCTTTGGTACAATTTTTAGGGCCGCTTTTAGTACGTATGTCCTTAGAAAGGTAATCACATTTAACTTAATTATTGTCTGCTTTCCAACAAGAACTGCTGCGGGTGTGACCATAACGGAGAGATGCTGTTTGGTTCTAACGAGTCTGAGTAAATTCTACTCTCATCCCCAAGCTCGGGGAGGGCGGGAGCACCCAGTCGCTCACTGGCTGTTGGAGGGTGCACGGAAAATGGCTCTCTTTGTCAAACTGTACTTTTTGGCCTCCCAGGTTTTGCAAAATCAGTTCTGTCTTTTTACATACCATTGACTGAGAGGGTTTGACTTCCACTATCAAAAATATAAGCAGTATGGGTAAAATTTCGATGCAAGCTGAAGCTTTTTCCATAACATGGTTTATAGAAATCCTAACAATCCTCCTAATTTAAGTCTGGAGACTATTCAAAACAAAAAAAACAAACATAAAACAAAAACCCACGCTGGGCTAGTGAGTAAATATTGCAGCTCTTTTGCTGCACCATTGAACAAGAGGCTTTGGCTACGCCTCTCCCATCAGACCTACCTGCTGTAAATCCTTACGAGTACGAAACTGAGGATCTTCCCTTTACAGTCTGCATTGCAGCTGGCACAGCAGGAGCCCCACAAAGCACCCTGACGTCCGCGCGCTCTCCTGCAGTTTGAACACAGGCTGCACTTTGCTGTAGATTTAAGCAGGTCCCCCCCCACTGCACCACAAAAGAGGAGTGGGGTCCCAGTGCAGGAAGTTTGCAAGTTTTAAAATTGTGATCAAATTTCAGGCTCAAAAACTGCAACAGAGGAGCCTTTGGCAAGTCAGGCTCTTTTTTGTAAAAAAAAAAAAAATGCCAACACAATCAAGACGTTTATATTTTAAGGTAATTTTTTTAAAAAACTGAAGGGGGAAAGAAAAGCTTATGCGAGGAACACTTGAATTAATCTGCAGTACAGAACAACTGAACCAACTATTTATTTACAATGATTCCTGAAAGTCAGCAGCCAGAATACATACCAATAGCAGCAATTACCTGGGCTATTTAATGATGCTGTTTTCTCATCTCTTTTGCAGACAACGAATGATTGCTCAGAGGTCACTGTTTCGTTTTGTTGCACAAGAGAAAAGGCTAGGTGCAAATAATTCTTTGATTTAAAGAGATTAAATCATATCTACATTAACAGCTGTGAGAGCAGCATGAGGTTGTATTGCTCTTCATAATCAGGAGCACATTTAATTTTGCTTGCAAATAAGACAGAAAGCTTCTCTGATGTAAATGTGCCTTTAAAAAGTGAGAACTGAAAACATTAATATAAAAAAGTCAAATAACTATTTCATTAAACTATATATATAAAAATTGAGTTATCACAACTAAAGCAGCAAATCAAAATCTGCTGAGGTTTTCTGGTATAACTAAAAAAAAAAAAAGTTAGTTTGTGTCCAAGTTCAGTAAGTCAAATGCTACCATTGACACAACAAAACTAAAACCCACAAGAGGAAATTGAAAAGTGCACAATGAAATTAATAGTCTTGGATCAAGTATTTATGGAGAAATGGAAATGTTTTGTCCGGTGGACTTGATAAGTGAGAATTAGAAGGAGGTATTAAAGTTTATCTGATCCAGATTTGGCTTGCCGTTCCACATAGAAGAGGATGTAGGCCTTGGCCTTTACCACAGTCTCCTCGTCGGTCAGAGTTACAGTACTGTCGTTGAAGTGGAACCAACGACCTTCGTGCGTTGCATAGGCGGTGTAATGTCCAGAGCCAACACTGCCAGCGAGAAGGGAAGGGAGGAAAAGATTAGTGGGGGAAAAGAAGAGATGACAGGCAGGAGGAGGTACATACAGTGCTACAGTGACTGCTGCATCAACCTACTAACAGTAACGGACTCCAAAAGCTGGCAACATCCTTCTCCTGAGGGGCTCAGGTGTTCCACGTTAAAGCTTCTATTCAGAGCCCATCACGTACGGGAATGTGTCTCGGGGGGGGGGGGGCGGTTGCTATCTTAAGTGGCTGCCTGTATCTGTCTCGCTGTGTGTGCCTATGTCTGACTGTGTCTGCTTCTGTGTGTGTGTGTGTGTGTGTGTGTGTGTGTGCGCGCAGCTGTGACTGCCAGTGTACCTATGTCGTCCTGTGTGACTGTGTCTACCTGTGTGCAGCAGGGTCCAGCTGTGTGTGCCTGTGGGGGCTGTGTGTGGCAGTGACTGTTTGTGTGGCTGCCTGAATAGCTCTGTGTGTGTGTGTGTCTGCATATATCTGCCTGTGTGAGCTAGTGTCCACCTGTATGACTTGTGTGTGCCTTTGTGGCTGGGTTGGTGGCTGTGTGCCTGTACTTGCCTTGGTGTGGCTGTGTCTACCGGTGTGGCTGTGACTGTGTCTGCCTCTGTGACTCTGGCTATGTATGCCTGTGTGGCTCTGTTTTCCTGTGTGGCTGGGCTTGGGGGGGGGGGTGTTTTGTCTGTATGGCTAGCTGTAGAGGTGGTCACCTGTCCATGGTGGGGGGGTGGGGAGGTGGTTGGCCATCTGGCTGGCTGTGTGCTTGCCTATCCGTGTGCCTGGCTGTGTGGTGCTGGCTGACCAGCTGTGTCAGTGGCCGTGCGGCTCTGTGGTTGGCTGTCAGCCTGTCTGTGGCAGTGGCCAGCTGTGTCACACCTGCTGCCTGACTGTGAGTCACTGGTGGACTGTGAGGCCCTGTCTGTCTGTGTGACTGCTTGTCTGTGGAGGTAGCTGTCTGTCCAGCTGAGGGCGGAGGGGCTGTGTGCCTCTCTCTTTGTGGCTGTGCCACCATCTGTCTGGCTGTGGGCTGGCCACCTGTGTGGCTGGCTGTGAGACGCTGGCTGGACAGATGCATGGGTGGTGCCTGTCTGTAGGGGGTGGCCGTTTGTCTATCTTGGGGAGGTTTGGGGGTGGGGGGGGAGGTAGCCAGCTGAGGGGTAGTCTGTGCGACTGGCTGTGAGGCACTGACTGTCTGTTCACATGGCTGGCTGTGTGTGTGTGAGAGAGAGAGAGAGAGAGAGAGACTGTCTGTGCCCACTACCAGTGCGGCCGTCTGTCTATTTGTGGTACTGTGTTTCTGTGGCATTAGCTGGCGGGGGGCAGCTGTGTGGGTGGCCCTGTCCATCTGTGGTGCTGTTTGGCTGTGAGGAGCTAACGGGGTGGCTGTGTAGCACTGGATGGCCAGCTTTTTTTTTTTTGGGGGGGGGGGGGGGGTTTGTTTGTTTGTTTTTTGTTTTCCCTAAAACATTTAAAGATTTTTGCTGTGGCAGGAACCTGGGTGGGGAACTGTTTGTCTGTTCGGCCATTTGTCTGTGGGGTGGCCAACTGTATGGCACTGGCTGGGTGGCTGTCCAGTTGGGGGTTGGCTAGCCATCTGCACAGCTGTCTGTCTTGACTGTGTGGCAGTAGCTCTCTGTGTGGCTGGTGGGCAGGGGAGCTGTCTGTGCTGGTGGATGTCTGTCTCTTTCAGGGGAGGGAGCAGGATCGCTGTCAGGCTGCAGTGGTGCCAGTCTCTGTGCCTGGCTGGCCCACTGAGGGGCACTGGGGTTTGTGTGGCTGGCTGGCTGTGTGGCTGTCTGTAGGAGTTGCTGTCCGCCTAGCTCTGGAAGGGGCTAGCTGTCCATGTGGTGTGACTGTGGGGCACTGGCTGGCCAGCTGTATGGGTGGGTGGCTGTCGGCCTGTGGCACTGCTTGTCTGTGTGACGCTGTCTGTCCATGTAGCATGTCTATGGAGTGCTGGCTGCCTAGTGCTGTGTGTCTGTGTTACCATCTCTCTGTTGGGGTCAGGGAGGGGAGGGGTACCTGTGTGGCTGTCTCCGTGGCTGGCTGGGAGGCACTGGCTGGCTGTGGGGGTGGCACTGTCTGTGTTGCAGGCTGGCTGTGGGGGTGTTTGTCTGTCTTTGGCTGGCTGTGGGGATGTCTGGCTGGCTATGGCACTGAATCTCTGTGGGGGAAGGTCACTGACTGGCTGTGGAGGCAGCTTTCTGTGTGGCTGCCTACGCGGTGCTGTCTGGCTCTGTGGATGTCCATCTGTCTGGGGCACGGTCTGTAGCAGTGCTCTGCTGTTTGAGTGTGGGGCACTAGCTGCATGGCACGGGCCGGCTGGTTGTGTGGGTGGCACTGTCTGTGCTGCTGGCCACCTGTGAGGGCTGTCAGAGCAGGTGGGTGTCACAGGCTGACCAGCTGCATGAGTAACTGTCTGTGATGGTGGTTGTGGCACTAGGTGACTTCCCATCCATCCGTCTGTGGCACTGTCCGTCTGTAATGCTGACTACCTATAGGGGTGGCCAGTTGTGTGGCACTGACTGTTCAGCTGTGTGGGTGGCACCGTCTGTGGTGCTGTCCCTGTCTGTGGGTGACTGCTCCGCTGGCTGTGTGGCACTGTCTACCTGCCTGTGGTGCTGGCTGGCTGTGGGGATGGCGGTCTGTGATGCACGCTCTGTGGGGTAGCTGTCTGTGTGCCTGGTGTTGTGGCTGGGTGGTGCTTTCTGGCTGTCTGTAATGGCGGCTGTGGCATTGTCTGTGGCACAGGCCAGCTGTGAGGCACTGTCTAATCAACTGGCTGGCCAGCTCTGTAGGGAAGTGGCTGGCTGGCTCTGTGACACTGTCTGTGGTGCAGGTGGTCTGTTTGGCTGTCTGCGTGTCCATAGATCTCTGAGTCTCTCTGGCACTGTCTGGCTGTGGGGGGTGGCCAGTTGTGTGGCACCACGGGGCTGCCTGGCTGGGTGGCACTGGCCATCTGTGTGGTGCAGGTTGGGCAGCTGTGGGGGTGGCACTGCCCCTCTGTGGCACCAGCTGGCTGTGAGGCAGGGCTGAGGGCGCTGTGTGCCTGTGGCTGGGCTGTCAGGGTGGTGCAGGCTGTGGGGGTGTCTGCAAGGTACAGGCTTGGCCATCTGCCTGTGATGGGATGGGGGGACTGTTGGGCCGGCTGTCCGTCTGCCTGTGGCACTGCCCGACCGTGGGGGTGGCTGTCTGAGTGCCTGTGTGGCACTTGCTGTCCGTGTGGGGCACGCTGGGACAGGGGCCATGGGGCCCAGCTATGAGGTGCTGTGTGTCTCTCTGTGGGAGCTTGGCTGTCTGCCTGTGTGTGTGTGTGTGTGTGTGTGTGTCCATGCGGCTGAACTGATGTGCGGCTGCAGCCATCTGTCAGGCCGTGGCTGTCAGTCTGTCTCTCTCTCTCTCCCCCTCTGTGTGTGTGTGTGTGTGTGTGTCCATGCTCCTTTATGCCCACAGGTATCTATCTGTACTCACATGCCACAGTTCTGTGTTGCACAAAGCCTTCCTTGCACCCAAGCAGGGGATGCTTATATACTCATTTATATATAAAGTAAATATATAATGCTTATATATAAACATTAAACAAACCCATGAGCTGTTACTTG